TTGATCAAAGTCTATATTTATTTAGACAAATTGAAAGACTCACAACTTTTATCTACTTTAACACACTTATTATAAAACATTTTTTGGATTCACAATTTATAATCTTGTAAAAGCTTTGCCAAATATGCTCAAATAAATAACGTTTTAAGAAAATAGAAAATAGAAATTAAAACAAAATTAGCCACAAAGTTTTTAGTCCTTGTTTGGTTTAGTCGATAAAAAATTAAGTTAAAGTCAATAATTAATTTTAATCTCACATTTTATGAATTCATAACTTCTATTAACTTTTCGACCTAATATTTCATCAATTTTTTTTTAAATCTATTAAAAAATAATGGATTGATGTGCCTATCAACGGTTTAGAAAATCATTTCTCATATATCTATTATTTAATTTAAATTTATTTTGACAAAATAGTTGTTATACACATCAATTCATTGATGAATAACAAATTTAATTTAAATCTTGGGACACGTCAAAAAATTTTCTATCAATGAAATGATATATACTACATATATACTATGATTAAGATTGCCACTAAATGTAGATTTATTAAATAGTGAGGTAGTTACTACTTTTATGTGTCATAATCACTGGCTTAGTGGTTATCATTGAATTAGCCCCTGTTTGAGTCACATTATTTTTTTTATTCTCATTTTTGTACTCATTTTCAACAACACATTTTTCAACAAAATAATATTTTTCATCACATCAATAACTTTTCTTTCTTTTTCAACCACATATTCATCATCACATTAAACAAAAAAATACATTCTTGAACTCAAAATGTGCACCAAACAGGGACTTAGTACTATGATATAGTTGAGATGCCATACATATGCATGTACATACACCAAATTTAATATATGGAATCTTTTTACTAAGTTTTAAAACAATTAATAAATTCAAATAATTGTCTAGGGAAGGAGTAGCTGAGGTGATTTTATCCACTAGTGTATATATTCTTGCTTAATTTGAGGTTGTTTGACAATTGATCATTAACATCCACCCAATTTTGCTAAAAAAACTATTAATTCTCATAGCTTCGAGTTACAATTAGTAACTTAAAAAATAGCTACACGTTTGATTATAACTAGTTGTGCGTTCTTACTAATGGCAATCGGAATGACTATTGTAAGCCGAATGTAGCTAACAACTCTTTCTTACAATTAGGATATGCTATATGAGTAATGCTATTCATTCTCAGTGAGGTTACAAACACAGTTTAGGTGACGTTAATATGACATTAAATAATGGATGAATTTAAAGCTACATAGACTGTGTTTGCAACCTCGGTGGGGATGAATATCATTACTCTATGCTATATAGGTAAATACAACAAATTTAACTGTGTAACTGCCTGTTTACTACAATGATTTAAAGTTGCATGATAGTAATAAATAGACAAAAAGATTGAAAATGAGCCGACACATCTTTTAAGAATAATGTTAGTTTAGGCACATCTTAAAATGTGACTATTTTTCTTTTCTTTTATATTTTGAAGTGATATATCAATTAATGACACTTAAATATCACTTAAACAACATTACTTTCATAGTTTTATTTTAAAGTATGTGGGCCATGGTTATATCATGGCCTTCTCTAACTAATGCATATGGGATATATATACACATATCACTATCATACTTATCATTTACTATTATTATGATGATGATGTGGACAATAGCATTACGTGATATTTGTTACTCATTCCGTTGCCTAAAGGTCGACTGATTTCTATTTCACACGGATTAAGAAAACATATCTCGCATTTGACAACCATTATTTTAAAAATCTTTTTTTTTCCGACATTCTAATTTTCAAACATACATTTATAAAATAAAATATTTTACAGTAAACTTTAAACTTTTTCCCACTTTTTAATTACACATTATTCAAAAAATCATTATTCAAAACTATGTTTATCTCAAAAAATGGTTATCAAACAGGGGCTAAACTAATATACATTGGAATTATAACTCTTGTACCCTGGCTTGTTGAGGTATATTCGACGATTTACCTCCTCCACAATGTTCTAGGGGCGGGGCGGGGTACCTCATCCGAATTGAATTATGTTAGGCATCATAAGGGTATTTATTTAACATTTTAACCTACCATATGCCCATTCATTAAATAAAATGTCATTTTTGTCCTTGTGATTATAAATCTTTACAAATATTGACATTTTTACTTTGTTTAGAATTTATATTTAATTAACAAAATGTTAATAAATGTTTGTGGAATTAATTTACGAACGCAGATAAAGCTTATTACAAATTTTGTGTCCTTTTCAAGTAACAGTAAATTTATTACACAAGAAATAGACAAAACCTTAAATTGGGATAATTACAGCTTTCAAAAATCCCGTTTGGCTTTGACCGGGTTTTCCTAGTCACCGTTATGAATAAAACCTTCAATTCCCTATGTTAATAAATTTATTTCATTAATTATATTAAAATACCTAAAATTCTTCTAAGAAAATTCTTTTTTCTAGTTCACGTTCAATTTTACTCGATTTAAGGTAGATTTTCACACAATTAGATACTGATTTTGATTAAGGGTGTGTTTGTATCCCATTATTGGGAGAAAAATAGAGTAATGAATAATATTTTTTGGAGAATGTGTGGTTGAAAAGTAAAGTAGTTTTATTCGTTTGTGTGTAGAATATTTTATTGGGTGAATGTGTGGTGGAGAATCTTACTGTAGAGTAGACAAACAAGGGCTAATTAAGTTGACCAAAAATATAAATAAAAAGTCAATTCGATTATTACTAGATTTTAATTTAAAAATACAATTATTTATTTTTATTTCATTATCTCCATGTTTACGCCTAAGTTGATAAAATAGAGAGCGCCCCCCCGGGGCATATCTCAATTGTGTAAAAGACATGAGTGAGGTAAATTCAACTGAGCTAACAGTCGCAGTGTGAGGGTTCGATTCTTACCTCTTATAAGGTATGAAATTAGACTCTTTGTGGGCACCAGTATGGCAGCTCTTGTCCCCTGGCCCGCTGAGGCACATCTCGCGATTTACCTCCTCCACGATGCTCTAGGGGCGGGGCAGTGGGAGACCCTCAAAGTTGGGGTTCAACCTTTNTTTTTTTTTTTTGATAAAATAGAAAGCGACTGAGCGAGTGTGAACTCATAAAATGGACAAATGCTACAATTTCGCATGAAGTTACTCGTCCGAACGTTGGCAAGGGTTACTTTTCACACCCAACAACATAACAAACAAACATACCCCACACTCTGCCGTAAGAGTTCTGGCGCAAAAGAAAATTGACAACCGGCTGCACCACCAACAGTTTTCTACCACTGACTTAGTCAATAGTCCTTGTTTGGCTGCATCGATGTTGGTTCAGTTTTCACTTATTTTTAAATCAAAGGCGTCATTTACAAAGGAATTTAATTATAAGTTAATTGCAACGTTCCGTAAACAAAAAAGCTTTTTGTTGCTATATTCTAATTCCACAAAAAGTATTAGCTGGGAAACGCGTTGGCCGTTGGATGTTAATGCAAAAGAATAAAGTCATCCATCCTTATTATGAAGAGAGAGAAAGTGACATATTTAGGAGAGAGAATATGGTGGGCTTCGAGCTGTGATTTAGCTGTTCGTGTTTATCTCTCTCTCTCATTCAACTTCACAACCCCACCTCTTCATTTTTCCTCTCTCCTCAAACACACCTTCACCACCACCCAAATCTCAATACCCACATCCCAAAATCCACATTTTCGTATCTCTCTCTATCTTTCTCATTCTCAAATCAAGCTTTTAAGAATAGAAACCCAAAAAACAAAAAAAAGACAGAATTTGAGCTTCAGATGTCTGATGTGAGATGAAGGAAAAAAATTCTTGCATTGTATATTTTCAATTGATTCTTGCATTTTTGTTGTTTTTTTCATCTCTAGGAGTTGCTAATGCCCATGTATCCCACGACACAGTTAGCAGTCTCACTGATGCTGAAGCTCATTACATCAAGCAAAGGCAGCTGTTGTACTACAGAGATGAGTTCGGTGATAGAGGAGAGAAAGTGACGGTTGACCCTTCACTTGTCTTTGAGAATCCAAGACTGAGAAATGCATACATTGCATTACAAGCTTTGAAACAAGCCATTCTCTCAGATCCCCAAAATCTCACTGCGAATTGGGTCGGATCTGGTGTTTGTAACTATACCGGAGTATTCTGTGCTCCCGCACCAGACAACCCATCTATTCGTACAGTTGCTAGCATTGATCTTAACCATGGTGACATTGCTGGGTATCTTCCGGAAGAACTTGGCTTACTCACAGATCTGGGCGTTTTCCATATCAACTCCAACAGGTTTTGCGGTACGGTGCCCAAGAAATTCAAAAACTTGAAGATACTCTTTGAATTGGACTTGAGCAATAACAGGTTTGCTGGGAAATTTCCTTATGTTGTGCTAAGTTTGCCTAAGTTAATCTATTTAGATATACGTTATAATGAGTTTGAAGGAACTGTCCCTTCTGAACTATTTGACAAACCCTTGGACGCTATATTCATCAATCACAACAGATTTGCCTTTGAATTGCCTGATAATTTCGGCAATTCTCCGGTATCTGTGATTGTATTGGCTAACAACAAGTTCCATGGTTGTGTTCCTGCAAGTCTTGGTAACATGAGCAATTTGAATGAGATTATACTGATGAACAATGGGTTGAGGTCATGTTTACCACCGGAAATTGGGCTTTTAAAGAATTTGACAGTGTTAGATGTGAGCTATAATCAGTTGATGGGGCCATTGCCTGAAAGTATTGGAGGAATGGTGAGTTTGGAGCAGTTAAATGTGGCTCATAATATGCTTTCGGGGAGTATTCCACGGAGCATATGTCAATTGCCAAGGCTTGAGAATTTTACGTACTCTTATAACTTCTTTACTGGTGAGCCTCCGGTGTGTTTGGCGCTGCCTGAGTTTCATGATCAACGGAATTGCTTGCCGAATAGGCCGGCACAGAGGTCTGCTGCTCAATGTAAAACATTCTTGTCTAAGAGAATTCATTGTGGTGCTTTTAAGTGTCACCGGTTTATTCCTACTTTTCCACCACTTTCGCCTCCGCCACCTGTTTACTCTCCTCCTCCACCACCTTCACCTCCCCCTCCTGTCTACTCTCCTCCCCCACCACCACCCGTTTATTCGCCTCCTCCACCGGTTTATTCCTACTTTTCCACCACTTTCGCCTCCGCCACCTGTTTACTCTCCTCCTCCACCACCTTCACCTCCCCCTCCTGTCTACTCTCCTCCCCCACCACCTCCACCACCTGTTTACTCACCACCTCCACCTCCTTCTCCACCACCACCCGTTTATTCGCCTCCTCCCCCTCCTCCATCTCCTCCGCCACCATCACCTCCACCACCTGTTTACTCACCACCTCCACCTCCTCCTTCCCCTCCACCACCACCACCACCACCATCTCCTATTCCTTATTGTGTACGCTCGCCACCACCACCTCCTCCAACTCCACATTCCCCACCACCACCACATTTTCACTCCCCGCCCCCAGCTCCTTACTATTATAACTCACCACCTCCTCCGTCGCCGCAGTCTCCACCACCACCACCTGTATACATCTATTCATCGCCACCTCCTCCACTATACTCTCCACCTCCCCCAACTAATTCACCTCCTCCTCCAGTGCACTCCCCACCTCCACCTTCACCGCCACCTTGTATAGAACCACCTCCACCTCCACCTCCATGTATAGAACCCCCACCCCCCCCACCGCCATGTGAAGAACACCCACCTCCACCACCGCCTTATGTTCACAAGCCCCCACCATCACCTTCACCTCCCCCTCCTTATCACTACAACTCTCCACCCCCACCGTCATCATCTCCACCACCGCCTGTGTACCACCATTCACCTCCCCCACCATCACCACCACCAGCTCCAGTATATGAAGGGCCACTACCCCCTGTCTTTGGGGTTTCATATGCATCTCCTCCTCCACCACCCTTCTATTGATTCTTTTGAGTTTTTCTCTAATCCATCATCCACTAAACACAACCCATACCCACAAACGATTCCTTAAGTCTCCATTGCTGCTATTATTTCCTCATCTTTCACCTCTGTGACACATCTAGTGTTGAAATTCTCATCGCCCGAATGTCAAAAAGTAGAGATAAAATTTAATTGTTGTTGAGAAGAGAGGAGAAATTGGTCTCTCCCTATATTAAATTCGAATTGTTATGGACAAATTTGAGTTGTGAAAATAAAGTGGCAGAAAAGAGGAGTAGGCTGCAGGTAGTTTATGTATAGAGACCATAATCGGGATGCTAGAAGGTGACAGTAATGGCTAGCACTTGCTGCTGTTGCTGCTGCTTCTAATTTGTGGACTTTATTGTGATCTCTCGTTTCATATCATACTTTTGTTTCTTTTTTCAATTTTATAGTATAATTAATGATAAAACATTTACTTGTATTGATTTTTGACATTCGGATAATTCCTTAATCTTCTTCATGTTTCTGAAAATGTAAGAATATCTGGGTTTTCTTTTTCCGTTCCTGATGATAAGTACTGCAGAATCAGCCAGCCAGCCAGAGATGGTATCGTATTAAAAATTCAGCAATAAATAAGATTTTAGTTCTGTTTAGTAATTTGCTTTGCATGATATAAAGTTAAGTGGCAGAGAGTTTAGTTTAGAAAAGGATGAAATGAATACAGCTATCACCAGCTCTGCCATGGAATGACGATGGGTGGTTGACCCTCGTGGGATTGGGACATGGATGGATGATGACATCAAAATCACCATTAATTCAACAACCCAATCCTTGAACTTTGGTCAACTTCACACCAAGTCTAGTGACTTGATAACTTGATTTTAGGCTGTTTTTACTCCTAGAAGATCGCAAGATAATAGAGGAAATAGAATTCCAAGATAAGATCTTGATTTGCTTAAAAAATGTTTGCTTAGACTTACAAATGACTCGAAAAGAGTTACTTCACCAGGCATTAGATCCCTTTTACGAGTGCTAGAATTTCAAGTAAAGAAGGATTTTTCATTCTCTTGGAATTTTTTCTAATTCAAGTAAGGTTTTGCTCAATTGCTATATGGTTTTACAATCTCCGCTTAGTAAATGGATGAGGCAAATTCTCACTTGATTTCGCATGTGATCGAGAATTATTTTCATTCTTAATTATTTTTCACATAATTGTGTTTTAAAATAATATTTCTAGACTTTTCATTATAACTTTTTCTCTAGGTACCTAATTTTATTTTTTCAGGGTTATATTATGCAATGTTGGAATTTTCTTTTTCCAATGAAGAAGTTTTAGGACATGTTTGGATGAGCTTAAAAAAGTATCTATCTTGTAAGCGAAAAAAAATAGTAATTAATTATGGATCTATGCCACAAGTGGTATAAAATCTTATTATTTTATTAATTTTAAGGGTAGGAGAATGAATATACATCAAACAATATTTGAATTTTTCCTAGCTAGATATCAAGCTATAGAATTGATCGAGTTTTTTGCAACTTTTTTAGCTCAAATTTTAGTACAAATTACACTGGGCACTGCTACACAAATTCCAATTCCATTTTTACTACTTTAATTGATTTATGGAACAATCCCAAAAATTGAATTAATGATCTCTCCAAAATCTTTCCAAACAAAACCTCACACAACCCTTCCTTCATTGGACTCGCAAAAAATCTCAACACAACCTTATGGCTACTGCCATTCTCTTGAATTTTTGATGTGGTTGTTTTTCATGGCAATGTTCCAAAATGTCGATTTACACAGACAATGATGAAGATTCACTCGCCGTTGAGGAATGATTAGTTTCCTAAGAGTCCATCAAAACTCGGCATTGTCTAACCACTTCTTAACACACTTCCTCGATTAAGTGTATCCAGGACTAGAATAGTGAAAAAAGGGTGTTGAAACAGTCGATCAAAAGTCAAAATTGAAGAAGAAGAAGAAGAATAAAGAAACACATTTCCATAACTCAACTGCATACAGCTTTTCTTACGCATTCTGCTTTTGGTCACTTCTTTGACAAAAAGGAATTCCATGTACAACAAAAATTGTCACATAAAATGTTTCTTATGGAAGTAAAACAACAAAACATAGATCAAATCTGGTTTGAAATATTTTGGAGGCGTGTCAGATTTTCTATCAAATCTGGATTGAGATTCTTTGGGAGGTGCACGCTCTCAAAAGTGTATTCTCGAGTGATGTCGAGTTTGGGAGGATCTACCTGATGAGAGGAGCGATGCACAAATTTTCAAAATTGAAATACTGGTGTCATGTCACTGTTGTTCACTACATCATATTAGAAACCAAAATGCAATATGTATATGAGATGTTGTAATATTTAAATGGATAAACTATTAGGCTGAAATACAAACAAGGAAAATAATTTGTTAACTGCAGTAAAATAACAAAATAAGAAATAGAAATTGCAACAAGAATAGATTTCCAAATCGTGACCTGCGTTACATATAGTTTTCTTAAAACAGATTCACCCTCTCATCGTTCATGTTTGAGGTATAGTTTGAGCGTCCGCTTCCCAAGATACAACGGTTAACC